TTCCACAAGTACCTTTCCACTCCTTTTGGTTGATATTTAACTCTCAAATCCAGGGCGCATCTGAAGATAATATTACTAGGATCATAGTACCTTTAAAAGGTTCATGGCAGGGCTGGAGAGATGGCTCAGTGGTTAAGAGCACTGACTGCTCTTGCAGAGGACCTAGGTTCAATTCCCAGCACCCACATGGTGGCTGCAAATCGTTCTTAACTCCAGTTCCAGGGGAATCCGAAGCCCTCTTCTGACCTCCATGGCATTGCATGACATGGGTGCACTCACATACATGCAGGCAATACATTTATACACATAAAATAAAAATAATAAAAAATGTTCATGGCTGACAGCTTTTACTTCTCATCATCTTAGAGTTTTCTATTAAACACTGGAGCAGACAGAGGTGGTCACAGAGAGGACCTGGCCTTCTCACTGTCATATTATGCCTCCCCTCCTTTATTAAAGTTCAACATCTCTTACTGTAAATAGTATCATCAATTAGTCAAATAGGATAGGCTTCCTTTCTTATTTTGATTGTGCCTCTAGATGTCTTGCCACCCAGTGGAACTAATAACCAACTGTTGTCAGGGCAGGATCACAGCTGTCCCTCTCAAATACACGTCCATGGAGAGTCACAATACTAAAATAGTGATTTGACTCTTGCCTTTTGATTTGAGAAGTTTCGCCTCCAGTGAGGCCTCCAGTGAGCTGAGGAAAGACACAACATGGCAAGCGGGTTATGATAGTCATTAACTTCCAAATAAAATTTAAAAGAGGCTTTCAATTACGATGATTTTTTTTTTTTTTTTAGGCATTCACCTTATTATACCAGTTAAAATACACACAGCAACGTGAGTGGTGACTGTGATGTCAATAAAAAGTTCTATATCCAGAACCATTATACGTCACTAATTACCCTTCAGGAAATTCTATGGTGACCCCAGAGTAGAGGGTGTATTTAATGAGATTGTTAATATTTCTATAAAACCAGCAGTCTGATAAATTCTCTTCAGGAAGGCACTTCCAGAGACCCAGCACAAGTGACTGTTCCACATGAAGCATTATCTTTTCTTGTACAACATTGAAAGCTTGCATGCTGCTTGACAAATTTGAATTTTAAAAAGTAGGAATGATTGGCACTTGGTAACTTACACAGAAATATAAAGTGGTACAAGAAAATTGCCCATTTCTTTTAGACTTACATTTTATGTATTTTTTTTCTTTTAAGAAGTGATAAGACATGTAATTTCCATCAACTTCAACCAGTTATGTATGAAAGAGGCTACAAGTTCAGCTCTGTCGAGGAAAAGGAAGTCACGGGGAGAGCTGACAAAGTACGGAAAGGCAGACAGCCTTTTCTCAGCTGCCTGGAGTTCTGGTGCTGTGAATGGTCGTTTTGGGTCCAAGGAACAAAACCTGAGAGTTGGACCTTTTTGCCTTGAAAACAATTCTATTTGCCCTTCATTGCTTGACTCACAAGCCCCAACTGCCAACTGTCCCTCCAGGTACCACATATTCCTCTATTAAGCTCAGAAAAAGGAGGCAGAGGGGTACAACTAAAGTTTATGAGCTTTCTTTTTATGTATTGGATACTCCAGTCAATTTGGCATAAAGCGGTTCTCTTCTATTTAGTCAACAAATATTTACTAATCAATATATTTACTGATACATATATCTAAAAATATGTACCAATAGCAAAACATTAGCTGCTTTATATATATCAAGTGGCATTCCCCCATTTTCATTATTTTGAATCTGTGTAAGAATAGAGGTAAGTGGCAGCCTTGAACTCATAACAAAAAAATCTATCGAAGAATCCTGATTTTTACTTCTGATAGGAATATTCTGTCATGTCAGTCTGCAGTTTGTGTACCTTTCATGGAACACATACATGCAACAGACCTCATGCTTGAACATACATATGAAATGTATATATTGATAAAATCATATACTGAGTTTCTTTTCTAAATTTTCATGGACTTTTTTTGTACTATAGCAGATATATGATCTTTCCTTTACTTAAGGCTTAAACAATGTATTCCAGTTTGAACTGTAGCATGGAAACAAACAACAAGAAAAAAACAGTCCTTTGAAAAACAGTAAAAGTGGTACTTTACTTCTAGAGCAACTGTCGAGTTATAAAAATAAACACAACTGTGGAACCAGGAATGCAGCTCAGTTGGCAGAGCGCCTGTACAGCGGCTATGAAGCCCTGGGTTCTGTTCTCAGCTCTGCATAAACCAGGTATCTTAGTGCAAGCCTGTAATCCCAGTTTGTAAGGAAGTGGAGGCAGGAGGATCAGAAGTTCAAGAACAGCCTCAGCTACATAGCGAGTTACAGGCCAGCCTGGGATACATGAGACCTTTTCTCTAGAGAGAGCAGGAGCGAGAGAAAGAGCAAGAGCTCTAAAGAAAAGGATATTCCAACAGGCCACTTATAAACAGGATTTATTATGTTACCTGGGCCAGCTTTGAGATTCACTTACTCTCATTTATTGGGAAGAAGCAAGAATGGTGATTATTGCAGAACTAGCATATAGCAAAAAATTCTTTTAAAACAGGATTTAATGAATGTTGTTGATTTAACACAGGCGCCAATTATTCTTTTTTTTGAAGGTCACTAGGGTACTATGAAGTAGTTAGGATTCATAGTCTGGCATGCCATAAGAGCCTGTATGTCCTTCTTCTCATGACAAATTTGATGTAGACTGGCTACTTTCCACATTCCCCACCTCTGTTTTCCTGGCTAGAATCATGTAAGTTTCTTTCTTGGCAAACAGAGGAGGTGGGTAAATCATTAGGCAGTATCTTAGTAGGACAAGTATCTATGAATCCCTTCAAAGTTCCTTCCAGGGTAGCCCAGGAGAATTTTGTCTTGGCTTGTCTTTTTGATCTGGGTCCTCCTGTTCTGGGATATAGCAAATGCATTCTAAGTTATTTGATCGATTGGATAGAGAGCACCTGAAGTTCCTTGAGTAGAAGAGTGTAGCCAAATTCCAACAATAGTTCTTTGGAGCATTCCAAGGTGCAATTCCCTCCCCTTGCCTCAGGAGATGAAATCTAGCTGTGGCTGAGAGCATAACAAATCTCTGTATATGTGGTAGGTGAAGAAAGAGCCTCAATTATAAGCCAAAATACAAGGTATTAGCAAGAGATTTAACACTTAACAGTCACACTTGAACTTACAAGGTGTTAATGAGCAAGACATGTATTTTTCCCACGTGGCTGTCTGGTTTCACTGTTGGTGCAGAATATTTTGAAACCTCAAGTTGTGAAACCATGAATCAGGAGGGTTTCCTGTATTATGAATGATGCCTTCTTCAAGACAAGCAGCTTTCAGTGAAATGCAGGAATGTTGAGGGTAACGCGTTTGCAGTAAGCAGGATCCTGGATTTATTGTGGAGGGGAGTGTGAGTAGACCAAAATGGAGAATGATGAGAAGCAACTAAATTATGTATGGCAGTCTTCACAGGGCAGGGGAAGGAAGAAAGCTTAATGATGTTGTGGCTGAAGGAGCAGGAGCAATTGGTGATGTATTAGTTGCAGGTTGGTAGGAAGAGAAATGAACCCAAGAACACCCAAAGACTATAGATGGGGGTGACATCAAGCAGCGGGTGGGGGACAGAAACCACAGGCTCAGGACAGAATGCATTTTAGTGGCAAGAAGACAGTCAAGTAAAGTCAACTTGACATTAAAAAGCATCACTTTAATCCATGTGGCTTTTTCAAGGCTGAGTTTTATCAAGGCAAAAAAAAAAAAATCTATAGCTAACAATGAAGCATTTTCCCCTTTTGCTTTCCCGGCATCCACCAAGAGCAGTACATAATTTAATTATGGAATCTACAGGCTGGACCATGGAGATGAAGAATGATGTGTCTGCGGTTGTGAGAAATTAGGTAGAACCAACTGTTTATTCTCATCACTCTTCTGCTGTGAAGCTTAAATTAATGCAGTTAACAAGCTTTTGTTTGGATTAGCAGTTCAAGAAGATCTGGGATGTGCAGATCAGAACTCACGATTATTACAGTAACTATCATTTATGGAGTGCTGGCAGGATCTACAAGCCCGGTGTGGGAGACAGAAAGGGATTCTTAGTCCTGTGATGGAATCAATGTTCCACCAGACTTAGCGGTCAGGCATCTGAATCCAGGAAACTAATTTCAAGAAAATCAGGTGAAGTTCCTTGGGCCATATGGCTGCAAAAAATGTCTAACGGAAGGGTCCCTGTCCTTTAAAAAATAAATAAATAAAAACAAAAACAGTTATAACATGAAGTGTGTGATTTAAAGAGCAAACCTGTAAACTTTCTGGGGAGCTGCCAAGACGTATGTGTACAGCGGCTGACTTGATGACTGACTTGGAGAAGTCTAGGTTGGAGAAGCAACCTAGAGCCTTGCCACATGCTTTGGGGAAGAAACCCTAAAAGCCAGTCAAGCAAAGAGCGAATGCAAATGAAGCTTCGAGGTTTGGGGCCTCTAGGCACGGCGACCCGCTCGACCTTTCTAGTATGAAGCTTGGACGGAGGAAGGGGGCGGGGGAGGCGGGGGCTGGCACGACACGCCGGCAGCGCCCAGAAGACTCTTCTGGGCCGCTGCAGATCAAGGATAGAGGCGGGACTAGGTTTTCTCCATTCTAACCCTTTCGGGCCCACGGCAACTAGAATCTTTATCTTTGGGTCCTTTAGTTACTTTACATATTTACAGTAACGCCTCAAGGAAGTTGATGATAGATCTAGACCCGGGGTGGTGGTGGGCTACAAACACCGAGCCGGTGTCACGTGGTCCCTCTCCGGGCCCAAGCCCGCGCCACCAACGCAAAAAGTCAAGTGCAAGCCCCAATCCGTCCACCCTAGCAAGCGACCCTGCCGCTCACAAGCCGCACGTGTACCGGAGATGGGACCCGCCAGGAGCCCGGACCGCGCTCCGCGCCCGCCCCCAGGTTCCCGCCATTCCCGCCACCGCCTTCCGCCCCGCCGGCTCCGCCCCTCTCGACTTCCTTCTCCGGCTCGCGGCGGGACGGCGGGAACCTGGGGGCGAGCGCTGCCTGCTGTCCGCGGACCGGCTCCGGAGGCGCGCGGGCCAGCAGCCGGTACTATGGGCGCTTCCTCTTCCCGAGGACCCGGCGTCCGGGGATGCCCCGCTGCGCTCAGCTACGCTTGCGCCAACCGGGACCCCGCAGAGCCGCGCGGCCTCCCTCGCCGGGTGGGGGAGGCGATCCCGGGGTCGGAGCTGCAGCTCTGCAGGCGCCCACGTGGTGCGGAGAATGCAGACTTGAGAACCTGCAGGAGTGGAGGTTGTTGGGGGTCCTGTCCGGCTGGGGTGTAACAGTTTCTCCCTGGACTAGTGACTGCCCAGCCTCGGTTCCCTGCTGGCTCTGAGGCTGCACATGGCTGGGGGGAGGGCGGGGGAGGGACAGGGCCCCAGAGAACCTTAAAGCAAACCTAGAGTGGAGACTTGAGCTCTTGTCCCCCTTCCCCCTCTCCCATCCCTCTTCCCACCTCTCCTTTACCTTTTCCTCCCCTTCCCACTCCTCTTTCTCTCTTCTCCTCCCTCCCAATTTGCCACCCTCCCCCCTGTTTATTAGGTACTGACACCCTACAGCCTTTTGGGGGTGCCAGCCCTTAAAGCAGTGGGGGAAGCCAGCCCCAACATAGCATGCCTGTCCGTGTTTACAGGCTTCTCAGAATTTGGGCAACAGAGTTAGTGCTCCCTGGTACTGACCTGTTTACTGCTAGGTGCTTCCCAGTACTGTAGCATAAGCTTAGAGTCTAGTCTGAAAGGGACGCTTTGGGAAATTCCCACCCTAAGATTTCATTGTTTTGAGCAATGGAGTGGGCCCGTGTTGCCCTCTTTCCTGAGGGCAGTTTATTCCTATTGAAAGGACCCTCCTTAGCTGAAGTTTTGTGCCTCACCCACCTTCCCCGTGGGCTTCTGTGTTGTAGAGAATATCTGGTCCTGTCCTTAAAGTACATTACAACTTTAGTAACAGCACATTTTCATAGTTTCTCATCTGACTCACTACTCAAGAGTTGATAATTTGCTTCATTTAGAGAAATGAAAGGAACAAATTATCTGACTACTTCTGGAATTGTCCTGGCTTCAGATGTTTTTTATTATTTTTATTTGTATTTTATGTATATGAATGTTTTGCCTGCATATGTGTCAGTCCACTCTGTGCCTGTGGAAGCCGGAAGAGGGTGTTGGAACCTCTGGAACTGGAGTTACAGGTTGTCAGCCACTGTGTGGGTGCCCTTAACCCCTGAGCCATTTCTCCAGCCCCTCAGAAAAAAATTTTTTTTTTTCAGAATTCCCTAGGCAGAACTAATCCTCCCATGTGATCAGAGGGCAAGTCCCCTAAGTTCTCTTAGTTTGTAAGATGCAGTGCCACTGCTTGCTGTAGCTGGAAGCAAGGCTTGAATGATGATACTTATAAATTTAAACAGTGTCTGGAATCCATTAGCTATTCCACATTTCTCTTCCCCCTCCCTTCTGCACTGACTCCAGTTTATAAGGGAGGGGAGTAAAAGGGAGGACAGTTTGTGGGCAATATATAGTAACTTAAATTCTATGGGAAAGCAAGCAATAAATGAATTATTTGGAAATATGAAGCCAAATCCAGACTTCTGAAATAATAAATTTCTTAATTTTCTCTTCAGACCAAAGACTGTCTAGGACCCATGTTTTTGTAGTTTCTGACTAATAAGTGCAGCCAAACTTGCCCAAAGTTCAGAGCGGATGCACTGACTTGGAAAACAGATGGACTCCATTGCTCTTCTCAATGTTTTGTGGCCTATTTCTTCCAGATTCAACATGAGTGACATTGCCTGCAAAAAACGAGATGACTATTTGGAGTGGCCTGACTACTTCATGGCGGTGGCTTTCTTATCAGCACAGAGAAGCAAGGACCCAAGCTCCCAGGTAAGTGGAGGAGGATGTTCAGTTGCTGGTAGAGAGGTGTACAAAGAGCAGATTACAGGAAGGACCTGCCGACTTAAAAATGCAGAGGAAATCTGCCCTTTGTGCTCTGGCTTCCTCACTTCCCATTCATTCACTTGCTAAGCGGTACCCCAGCTCTCCATAGGCATCAAACATTTGGCAGTACTTTTCTGTCTAGGTTGGAGCCTGCATTGTGAATGCAGAAAACAAGATTGTTGGCATCGGGTACAATGGAATGCCAAATGGATGCAGTGATGACCTGTTGCCATGGAGGAGGACAGCAGAACATAAGCTGGACACTAAGTACCCTTATGGTAAGGCATGTTTTGATTCCATGATGTAGTCTGTTGGGTGCTTCATTGAAAAAACTGATCTGTCTTTCAGTCCAATAGCTGGAAATTAAAAAAAACTTCCTGTTCCCAGCTCTTCAGCTTCAAAGAGAGCCATTGATGGAAGTGTGGTCATCATCACACAGGCTGGCCCTGAGGTCCGGGTTCTTGTTGCATTGGTGAGCCTGCACAGTGAGCTTCACTGGCAGCCTGCCAGCTTGTAGACACCAGAGCGTGGATGGAGGCTATAGTCTCTGGCAGAGAGAACGGGGCATGTGTGGTGGTTCTGGAGTTTGTTTCTTTTGGAAATGAGGGTCAGCTCTCCAAGAGATGCTCAGGGTTTGCCCTGCTGAAAAGCAGATGCAGTCAGCCCCTCAGCCTCATGAGGACATGAGAGTCAAGTTTTATCTCTGGGAACCTGGAAGCAAACTATGAGCTGGACATTAGGAGGTGAGGCTGTAATTTCCCTTTCTGGTCTAGAGTTTCTAGTCCCACAGTGGGTTCTGCTCAAACCAAAGGTAGAGTATAGAAATGAAGACTTGGCTCTTTGGCTGTTCATCTTGATATTAGGGAAGGGGCTATATTAGGTATTTTTACTGTGACCAAATTGACTGAAATAACTCCAGAGAAGAAAAGTTTATCCACACTCCCAGTTTCAGAGGATCTTCGGTCCATCATGGTGGAAATGGCATGGCATTGGAGTGGCTCTGTTCTTGGTGGTAGGAGTATAAGGTGGTTTCTGTGTACATGGTGCAGACCCAGGATCGGAGACCTCTGCAGAACCATGGATGGGTCTAACGTTGAAAGACCCACCCTTGGTGATCCATGTCTGCCAGTTAGCCTGTACTTCCTAAAAGCTCTGTGCTGTCCAAAGTAGCTTCACAAGCTGTGGACCCAATGCTGAGAACATGAGCCTGTGGGGGACATTCTGGATTCAGACGGTAACAGGTACTTCCTAGAATTTGTTGCCTAGCTCAGCCCCAATGAAATTCTTTTTAGAGATTCTGTGGGAGATAAAATCACAGCTTGGCTCTTCCTTTTACTCTCTAGATTCATAATTCCAGAAAGGGGGCAAATTGGGTTGCATATGTTGGCTTTTGATTTTTTTCATAATGTTATGCCCTGTATTTATATCTCAGAATGAACAGATTGACTCTGTTGGAAGTAAAGTAGATTAAGGTCGTTCAAATGGGAAAGATTGTGCCTTCCGGAAAGGCACTGATGTAAAGACCTGTCTTCTTTGTTGACTCTTCCCTGGTAGGCTTTTCCTCTGGGTATTTCTCATGAGGAATTACAAGTGTACGTCTAATTTATGTATTTTTGCTGATGTTCTTGGACCTTAATCATGTTAAGTAAGCCCCTTAAATTTTTTTTAAACTGCTGAAGGAAATATCCTGTGTAGTAGAATGGTAGAGAAGAAAGGTACCCGGAAGAAGAGAAGGAATTGAGGAACGTAGTGGAGACAACATCCAACCACTGAGGGTTTTCAGGGTATAAAAAATAGTTCTGTGATTAAGGGATTTAATAGCCAGATAGTAAATTTAATTTCACTCTGGTGGGAGTAGGAAAAGCAGAACCAGAATTGGGAGAACGTAAACCTGTCTTCTGAGGCCCAGCTGTAGCTGGTGCTGGTGAGTTATGTGGAGAATGTACTAGCATATTTTACAAACTTTATCATCCTGGTTTTGATTCTGCAAGCTTTTGATGGGAAGAAAGAAGGGAAACAATTAGTTGTTTTGAGGCCTATGCAAAAGTAATTTTTCATGGGATAGTTCAATATCCCATATAAAAATGGTGAAAGTGAAAGGGTTGGTATGTTAAAGATCTATGTTGAATTGTATGACTTACTACAGACAATATTTCACTGAGTCAAGGCAGGGAAGTATTATTCCTTCCACTGAACTCCGTATGAAGGAGTTTGTAGATGTCAGTCTGTCTTAACTCAGGCTGGTTGCTGAAGATACCAATGGATAGACAAGCGTTGGGGGTTCTCAGTGGTCACTGGGCAGCTCTGAGTGGCATCTGTGCCTTCTTCAGTCACTGTGAGTCCTAGGCAAGTCTGCATTACATTTACACACATCACGCCTCCCCGCCCCGCCCCCCAACTGGTGCTCTGTAACCTCTGAAATGGCTGGTTTTGTTATGAGCCATTGCCTTTTGTCCATGGTGTGGGGAGAGTACCTTTCAAGAGCAGCTTTCCAGAAGGGCTTAAACCCACACAGACAGTTGTCTAACTTCACTGATTGTTTTTTATTGAATAGCTGCTGAGTTTCTGAGCCCTGGTTGTCTGTCTACATTATTTTTTATTGTCCATATGATACCTCTAGGTTTTCAAAGCTCTTTGCCCTTGCTTATCAATTATTCATGTTATGTATAGCTATGTTAGAATGTAGACAATTTTCTTTCCTGAGAATAAGCTTGTAATTTGATGGTACCATAAAAATTGTAGACGGTATTAAATGGTTTTTAAAAGGCATTTAGTGTTGCTGCTATCATAATCCACGTAGCAGTGGGCTTTAAGTCTAAATAATGATGGCTGTGCACACTGCATACTCATTCTTGTCTTTCCAAGGCTTTCTGAGCCACAGGAGGTCAATGTTTGCACCTTCTCGCCTATAGGACGAATGTTTGCTGATTAAATGCATTTTGTTTTAAGATTTTAAAAATTGGAGCTGGAGAGATGGCTCAGAGGTTAAAAGCATTGACTGCTCTTGCAGAGGACCCAGGTTCGAATCCCAGCACCCACATGGTGGCTATGAACCATTCTTAACTCCAGTTCCAGGAGAATCCAGTGCCGACTTCTGACCTCCTTGGCATTGCATGACACGGGTGCACTCACATACATGGCAGCCAATACACTCATACACATAAAATAAAAATAATAAATAAAATATTTTTTAAAAAACATTTCAAAAATTTATTTAAAAAATAAGGCAATAATTAGATGGATGTCACCAGTTCTCTCCTTGCCAATGTTAATGTTGACTGAGCTGCTCCATCAGGAAGGATAGACCTTTAGGGGTTACCCAGAGTCAGTGGTTCTTAACTCTTGAATAGGCAGGACTATGATAGTAAATTTCTATTGTCAACTTCATTGGATTAAGCAAGGCCAGGGACATCAGTGGAGCACACCTTTGAGTGTCTGTGAGGGCAGATTGAGAGGGTAAGCCTGACCCTGCATGTGGGTGGCACCATCTCACAAGCTGAAGTCCTGGACTGAATGGAAAAGAGAAAAGGAGAAAGCAGAGTGAGAACCAACATTCCCCTTCCTCCAACATTCCCCTTCCTCCAACAGTCCCCTTCCTCCAACGTTCCCCTTCGTCCAACGTTCCCCTTCCTCCAGCAGTCCCCTTCCTCCAACAGTCCCCTTCCTCCAACAGCCCCCTTCCTCCAACGTTCCCCTTCGTCCAACGTTCCTCTTCCTCCAACAGTCCCCTTCCTCCAATGTTCCCCTTCCTTCCTCCAACAGTCCCCTTCCTCCAACAGTCCCCTTCCTCCAGCAGTCCCCTTCCTCCAGCGTTCCCCTTCCTCCAGCAGTCCCCTTCCTCCAACATTCCCCTTCCTTCCTCCAACAGTCCCCTTCCTCCAACAGTCCCCTCCCTCCAACGTTCCCCTTCCTCCAACGTTCCCCTTCCTCCAACGTTCCCCTTCCTCCAACAGTCCCCTTCCTCCATCAACTTCCTGATCTTCCACAACATAGCTCAAGCCTCCACAGACAGGAGCTGGTCCTAACCGTGCCTTTCCCACCATGATAAACTAAATCCCTGAATAAACTCTTTCCCTTTAAGTTGATTCTGTCTGGTATTTTGTCACAGCAATGAGGAAAGTAACTAATACCTAGACCATCATTTAAATGTCAGAAACGTCAGATCTTTTGAGCAAGAAAATTCTTAGTGACAAAAATCTGTATCAGGTCATCAGTATTTTATGTTAATCTGGACTTTATTTATCAGACAGTATTTACATCCTCTTTGAAACAGTTCTGTGTACTAAACTTGATTTTTACTAGCCTTGGACCATGCTGGTTCTTTGTAGTGATCAACAGTACTTCAGGTTTCTGTGATGACAGTGTCTGATGCTGCTCTTTTGAAGTAACTTCTGTGATGTCACACATTCAGGGTGACATCTGCTCCTGTGCCAGGGCTTTCTTTTTTTTTTTTTTTTAAATAAAATATTTTTTATGCTTTGATAATTTCATACATGTAAACAATGTATCTTGATCATATGTACCCCCAACTTCCCTTCCTCCCTTGCCCTAGGCATCCCAACACATCCCCCTCCCTCCTTCATGTCCTCCCTCCCTTCTTTTTTTCTTTTTCTTTTGATAACTGAGTCCAGTTACTATTGTCTATTGGAATGTTACTGGTCTTGCTGGCTTAATCTTGTGTAACCTTGTGTAGGTAGCCATAGTAGCTGTGAGTTTGTGAAAAAAGTGACCTTGTTATGTCCAGAAGACAGCATCTCACAACACTCCTCCACATCCTCTATGTGTCTTACAGTCTTTAAGCCTCTTCTTCTGAGATAGTCCCTGAGCCTTGTGGGTTGATCAGGAGTTGATATAGATGTCCCATTTAGAGCTGGGCACCCAAGAGTCATTTGTTCTTAGCACTTTATGAGTCTCAGCATTAACTGCTGACCACTACAGAGAGAAGCTTCTCTGGCCAAGGTTGAAGGTAACACTAGTCTGTGTGTATAAGTATAAATATTTAGAAGGCAGCTTGACAACATGTCTGTTTAACAAAACAGTAGTAGTAGGTTCTCCTCCAGGGCCAACGACCTCCCTAGTCATGGGCTTTTGGCAAGACTTATAGTATCAAGCATGAATTCCCTCCTGTGGGGAGGCCTCAAGTCCAGTCCAAAAGCAATTGGTTACCCCCATAACCTTCATGCCACTATTTCACCAGTGGGCACATCTTGCCTGGCAAGTTGGTATTGTAGCATTCAGGATTTACTGCTAAATGATAGCATTGATGACTTTTCTCCTC